TTAAGCCTAGTACACACAATCAGAAAATCAGACGAATAATACCGCTTTCAAAGCGTATGTTAGTCTGATCGTTAGTACACAGCATTCGTCCAAAATTATTCACGGTGAGAAACACGAACATTTTTTTCCTACGATACCAGATCATACGATTTTCATTTAAACAATACAGTATTCATTCGAAAAAAAATGGAAGAGCAAGGCCACACATTCTCAGAAAAAAAAGAATACATTACAATGCAATACAACACATTACTTCACTTCCAAATTTGTATTCTGTCATAAGAGAAATTCTGTAACTTTAGTAACCACTTCATTTTTGATATGAAACTAGCATGCAAAAAAAAAAATGGACGATCATTCGCCCAATATTCTCATCGTGTGTACCAGGCTTTACAGCATTGCCAAAGGGCTTAGTTAGAGAAATATTTGAAAAAGTAATCTGAGGAACCACAGTTTATGAATCATTGTGCCAGGCTTCACTATTTGGGATGATGGGCACTCTAGGTTACATCATTCACCATATTTACACTGTATGAGAGCAGTGATCCCAACCACAGCATCACCTGCCTGGAGTTTGTATGGTCTCCCTGTGCCTGCGTGGGTTTCCACCGGGTACTCCGGTTTCCTCCCAGACTCCAAAGACATGCTGGTAGGTTAATTGGCTCCTGTCTAAATTGGCCCTCGTATGTGTATGTATGAATGTGAGTTAGGGACCTTAGATTGTACGCCTATTGAGGGTTAGGGACTGATGTGAATGTACAATATATATGTAAAGCGCTGCGTAAATTGATGGCGCCATATCATTACCTGAAATAATAATAATGCCAATAGTCCCAGAAAAAAACCTCCACAGAAGGTAAATTAGAAAATTTGGCACTAGAATACACAATTGAGAGCTAATGGATACAAACAGAGAACCATCCTGGAGTACGGGGACCTTTCATTTATTCACCTGTCATCCATTCATACAGCACTTTTTATTGCTATAAGACATAGTACAGATTCTATGATTGCAGGAGGGGGGCAAAAGGGTGGGCGCAGTCACAATCTTGGTTAGTATCCATGACAGGTCCAGTGGCTTGTATTAACCCTCACATAACTGGTATTTATCACTGCTGGGGTATTATGGAAGGGAGGCAGAGAATGAAAGATTTCAACTAAGACAGAAGCCACCAGCACAAAAGACCCTTCTCATTCAACGTAAGTACGGTCCTATGTGCTGATTTTAATAAGTATTTAACTAAACTTAAGCTGTAATGTATAGAAAAGTTTTCATACACAACACTTACCGATCAGCTTTATTGTGAAAGCTCCATGTGATTGGCTCTGTAGAAAGGTGCTGTTTAATACAAGTGTGGATGTGTCACTTTGTAACAAAACCAGAGAGCTTGGCCTAAATTCACGCAGGCTGCAGGCAGGAGGAAGGGAATCAGACTACAAAACAAAAGGAATGTTTAGCTGAAAAATATATGAAATTTGAATTCTATAGTCAATGTATCAGTTATTGTACCGCAACATTATTTGTATCTATACCAAGAAGCACACAGCCCCATTATTATTTTAGAAAAAACTACAACTACTAATAGAAAGGCAAATGATACCTTTACATTGTCCTCTAACACAGCCTTTTTCCATCAGGGTGCCCAAGCACCCTAGGGTACCTTGAGGATTACTGCCAGCATGTACTGTATATACTGAGCTGTGTTCAATAAAGATTCATTCATTCACCCTACACGAAGTTCCGACTCGTTGTTTGGGATATCGGGGAAGGAGTGTCTTTGAGCTCTAATACCCGCCTTGGCAGAGTGCTGGAAGACTTGCCGGAAAAGGGAACCATTGGCTGAGACGCATCGCTCTGCACGAGGAAGCCCAGGCGGAATGGTTCCGCCTCAACAGCCTGTATGTAGGGTTATGGAAAGAAGGCAGGCAGAAGGAAGCAAAGACTAGAGCTGGAGAAGAGAATGCGAGACAGCAATTAAAGTAAGGCTAAAGGATGAGAATAGAGAGAAAAATAATATAATGATCTAGCCAGCCTTTTTCAACCAGGGTACCCAAGCACCCTAGGGTACCTTGAGGTTTCTTCAGGGGTGCCTTGGCAAAATACCTAAAAAATGCCCAAAAAATTGTATACAAGCCATCAGGTGGACCAAGCCTGCCTTTTAGTTACACAAAGCCACAGGTTTTCATTATGCATGATAAAAAAGCATGAGCAAACGAATGCTGTAACTCCTGTGCTAGACAATGAGCTCCACAATGTCAGTAACCCCACATGGAGTATTTTTTGGGAATGCAAGTCTTGCTGCCTTCAACGGACCAGGGAAATCCAAAGGAGCTGTGTGCAAAGAAACAAACAGAGGGCGCACGGGCCTAGTTTATTACCTTCTAAAAATGAGATTTATTGAATAAAAAGTAGTATACTCACATAAGAATAAAATCAAAGGCACATCACAAAAAAAGACAGCATGGTCCAATCTCACTAGATGGTGGCTGTTGGGGGATTGTAGGCCTCCAAATGTTGATGTGTAACGAGGCGAGAGGGGCTCTGAGGAAGAGGTTCTGCCTCGAAATGCGTCAGCCATTTGGAGGCCTACAGTCCCCCAACAGCCACCATTTAGGGAGATTGGACCATGTTGTCTTTTTTGTGATGTGCCTTTGATTTTATTCTTTGGGAGTATACTACTTTTTATTCAATAAATCTCATTTTTAGAAGGTAATGCACTAGGCTCGTGTGCCCTCTGCTTGTTTCTTTGCACACGTCTCATTATGCACCAATAACCAATCACATCATCAGTTGATAAGAAGGATGTCAGTTGCCTGCACAGCATCCTAATTTGACCCTCCCCTGCCCCTCTCCATCAGTGCTGGTGTCACATTAGCTCAGTGATGGAGAAAAACTGAGGAAGAAGAGAAACACTGAAATACTAGTCAGTACCAGCGTGCAAAAGTGTATTTTATTTGGAAGAATAAATCACCTCTACCATTGGGTGTCTTACATGTGTGAACATTGATGCATTATGTAAAAACTATTAGAATAGTTTTTTACATTTTAGAATGGGGTGCCTCAAGGCTGTCCATAATTTTAAAGGGTGTCTTGACAGGAAAAAGTTTGAGAAACACTGCTCTAACAGGTCTTGAATTGCCTGCAACCACCAATAACTTTAAAGAGTCTATGGGTAAAAAACAAAACAAAAAAATGACATATATAATTGGAGGACATGCCTAAGAGATGATAGAGCTTGTGGGCAGTTGGGGGATAGGCTAGATCAGTGTTTCTTAACCTTTTTTCAGTCAAGGTACCCTTTAAAATTATGAAAAGTCTTGAGGCACCCCATTCTAAAATGTAAAAAACTGTTATAATAGTTTTATATAATGCAGCAACATCCCCACATGTAGGACACCCAACATTAATGTGCAAATACACTTTTGCACACTGGTAGTGACTAGTATTCTGGTGCTTCTCTTCTCCCTCAGTTTTTCTCCATCGCTGAGCTAATGTGACCCCAGCACTGATGGAGAGAGGCAGGGGAGGGTCAAACTAGGATGCTGTGCAGGCAGCTGACATCCTCCTTAACAACTGATGATGTCATTGGTTGTCAGGACTCCGGCAGCTAGAAGGTCGTAACGTTGCACAATGAAAACCTGTGGCTTTGTGTAACCGAAATGCAGGCTTGTTCCACCCGCTGGCTTGTATACAAGATTTGGGCAATTTTTAGACATTTTTCCCAGGCACCCCTGAAGAAACCTCAAGGCACCCCAGAGTGCATGCGCACCCTGGTTGAAAAAGGCTGGGCTAGATCATTATATTATTTTTCTCTCTATTCTCATCCTTTAGCCTTACTTTAATTGCTGTCTCGCTTTCTCTTCTCCAGCTCTAGTCTTTGCTTCCTTCTGCCTGCCTTCTTTCCATAACCCTACATACATACTTCTCCCATCCTCACCCCCCCACCACCTTTTATTTACCCTTTTGCCCACATACCGACAGTCTACTGTCACTCTCCCATTCAGTGGCGTATTTAGGTTTTGTGCTGCCCGAGGCATCACAAAAATTGGCTCCCTCCATTGACGAACACCCCACCCCCTACTCCCACCCGAGAGAGCCTTCCACTACAACTGCCCCCATACACTTGCAACCCCCCACCCCGACAAGAGATACTGTAAGACACTCACCTTCACAGCTCCAGACATCGCCGGGAACAACAGTCAGGCTCTGCATACACCCTCAAGCAGCCTGCAGATCCCACCTGGACCCATGCTGTGTGTGTCCCTTCTTCCTTTCCTTCTTTCAGGGGACAGCACTGCCCCCTGAAAAATACTGCTGCCCTCCCTGAAAAATGCCGCCCTAGGCAAATGCCTTGTTTGCCTTGTGGTAAATACACCCTGCTCCCATGGTTATAGAACTATTCACTATGACAGAGGAGAATACAGACAGAAGTGATTCTAAGTTACATGGCAAAAGTCTGCCACTAATTCTCTATGGCTCATTTTTGGTTGATAGTCTCTTGAGTTTTCTCTCTATAATAAAACAACTCTCACCTTTTAGGGAAGAAGTGAACTTTGCAATGGATATTTGCAACAGAATGTATCTTTCTATTCTCTGTTAAAATACTTTGGAAGATGTTTCTCATTACATAAAACATCAATAAAAACTTTATGATGCAGTCTGTCACTAGCATTAGCATAGCCATCACCCCTGTAATAGATTTTTATTACTTGTTCATCCTGCCATTGGACCTATTATTTTTCCACTTCCTATAATGGGTTGACAACACTGTTCGTTGAGCATTAAAATCACACATCAGCCCTATCACTCTGTAAGAAAGAAATTAAATAAATTGAAATCTAACTCCAGCTAACATTTTTTTAAACAGTTATTACAACTCTAATGCTAACAACTGAAAACTAACCTTATTGAAGCTATTCTGAAGGTACCAGATGTATGTAACTGCACTGCAGTTTTCACAGGACGCATACAGCACCATGTCTTCAGAAAGATCAATATTCTTGCAGTTACTCAGACAGCTAAAACAAAAATCAAATCATCTGTCAATATATTACCTCTGTAAGATGATTTTATGAGAGAAGTACAAACAGGAAAGCAATTCCCTTTAATAATAAAGAATTTAGAACTGAATCTGTTTTGAAGCACTTATTGTATATCCATAACAGCTGCATAGGATTACATAAGTATGCATTCATGCAGTTGTGGTCAATGTACAAATGATAGAGGACCTCAAGTGTGGTCCTTGACACTTCTGGAGGGCTGCACAATGCACACTAAAAACATTGGAGTACAATAACCCCCAGTGAATGCAATAATAACCCCCCAACATTGGTGTAAGTGGATAAAATAATAGCCCCCAGCACTGGTATCAGTACTATTATTCTTTCCCCCTATATTGATGGTCAGTGCCATTAAAATGTGCTACCGCCCTGCATTTGTGGTCATGGTAAAGAAAATTAAACCCCCCCCCCCCCATTTCCCGTTCCTCCCTTGGCAGTGAAAATTATCCACTCCACCCCCCCCCCCCCCCCACCCAATGGTGTATTTAGGTTTTGTGCTGTACTAGGCAACACAAAAATCATCTGCCCCCACAGACACCGACCAACACCCCCACCCCCTGTTCCCCTCCCGGGGAGAGAGCCTGACATTCACCAACAACTCCCCTGCCCCCCACTTGGGAGAGCTTTCCACTACTCCCCCCCTTTCCCGGCGATAGAGAGAAAGACACTCATCTTCACAGCTCCGGACATCCCTGGGAATGGGAGTCAGGCTCTACATACACCGTCAAGCAGTCCGCAGCCTCTCTGGGTCCCACCCGGTTCCCATGTCCCTTCTGTCATCCCTTCTTCTGAGGGGAAGTGCTGCCCCCTGAAAAATACCGCCCTAGGCAAGTGCCTTGTTTGCCTTGTGGTAAATACACCCCTGCCCCCACTCCCAATATTGAAGGTCATGGCAGTGAAAGTGTTACTTCCCCAATCCCTTTTTTCCTGTATTGGTGGTTATGGCAGTTAAAGTGTTAACCTCCCCAACCCCCCCCCCCCCCCATTATTGGTGGTATGCACAAAGTGGTGCTTGAAACAGAACAGTAAATAAAAGCTGTGCATAGTTCCTGCTGACTGTAAAATGCTAAGAATAAGCACCACTCAACATCAAGGTACATGGAGATCAGACTTTTGGCACCACAGAGATAATTCCCTGTTATTGAGTTCTCAAAAAATACAAGTTTCAGCTATTGCTGCTTCTTCTTGCATCCAGCACTCAGTCCTGAGGTCCATTAGTAATCTTTAATATCATAATTCCAATATCAGTTGCAGAGTGTATTAGATGCATAAATAAGGGGTATAAAAAAAAACAGCACTCAGGCCTGGTTCACACTACATGCATTTAAGTTGCATTTTTTCTGCATTCAAAATGCACAGAAAGTAGGTTATATAGTTGTCAATGTCATAGTTCTCATCAGTGCTTGCAGTTCCGGTGCGTTCCGGGTGCAGAAAAAAAAATCAGAACAGGCAGTTTCTGCACAGAACTGTACTGGAACGTGGTAAAATGCATAAAACTTGCACCAAAAGCACTGGAACGTGCCAAAAATACACTAGAACACACATGTCCCTATTTAAATTGAAGAAAAAGAGAGAGGAAAAAAGGAACTGGAATGTATAAAAACACACTGGAACACGTCAAAAATGCTCCAAAAACGTGCACACAAAAATGCATCCAGAACGCATTCCAGAAAGCATCTGGACCGTGTTTCTATATTGTGAACCGGCTCTTAGTTGTATCCTAGCTCTTGTTGGGCAGTAAGAAATTGGAAACGTGAATGCCTGTTACATCTTTACCTTAGTTTTCCCATACATGGTCCAACAAAACTGCTGTATAGCTAACCACCAAAAAACATCTATTCAGAAATACAATTGTTGAAGCCTTGGAGGTAAAATACATTCATAATAAATATGCAGGACACAATAGTAGTTTTGTATGTTGACCTGATTCTGGGTCGGAGTTGGTTCTTGGCCGTCACATAGAAGCATTGTTCATCCTGCACTGTCTCTCCATCACTGAGAACTGCAGCAGCTTGGATAGTGAATGCAGCGTTAGGGGGGGTGGCAGGTAGGCAGCAGGAATCGCTATCTTTTTTGAGGTGGGGTCAATTAAATTCTGTTTTAAACATTCAAACCAACCCGACCAGCAATATCCTGCAGATACAAAGAAATGGAGTCAGTCGAGGATCCTTGTCAAGTATTTTGGTCCATTTAGTAGTGTAGTAATTATTACATTGGTCCATTTAGTCCATTTAGTAGTGTAGTAGTTACTAATACCACTTACCACATGACCATATGATAGTATCAGTAATGTTGCTCCATACTTGCAAGCTGATATTGGAAAATGGGTTGACATGTCTGCGGGGCTCTATCTGCATTGCCCATTTCTTTTTAATAATATCCTGTAAGAGATTGTAAAAAGCATCATAGTTGCAGCACTCTAAGATACGTGTAGAACTGTACAGCCTGCCTGAGTTTTCGAGGCCCATGGTCCTCCTAGTTTTTAAGATTTGAGCTCTACTAGAATTGCTAGTCAGCAAGGGTCAGTGTGATTCATAACATCTTTATACTATGGACTATGTGGCTATTCCCAGAATTAAGGAGAAGTAGGATCTTTGGTTGCTACAGGACCTGCACTGTACCTGTTTATCTCTAATTATGCAGAAAAAAGCAGTGCGCAGTGTGCACCCCAAAATAATACCACAACAGCCCACCAGTTATAGAAAATGATATTCCTAAGGCTGGAGGAATGCAGCAAGGGAAACTTCTCCCAAAGCGCTGGGCACCTGATGTTAGTAGGCATCAGCCGATTTGTCCAGTAGTTGGTACCACCAGTGAGTGGTTCTTTTCGAGCATCCTAGTTATCCTGAATAGGGCAAGTAGATCGCTGTCTTCTGCCCTCTGAGCTATGAAAGCAGTGCTTTTTCTCCTTTACCTGTTTTCCTAATAAGCACTTCCGGATCTAGGGGGGTGCTGGGGTGGCCTGTGCCCCCCGGATGTTAGTTGTTCCTCCCCAGACCTCTGAGAGTCTATACACAGATCCATAATACCTGATGGGGACACTATGATGGGGACAGTTGATGTAAGGAGGAACTCTGATGAGGACAGTTGATGTAGGAGTGAACTCTGATGGAGACAGTTGATGTAAAGTGGACGTTCTAAGGGGCGCAATTGATGTAAAGGGGCACGCTAAAGGGGGCAAATGATATAAGGGGGCACTCTGATGATGCAATTGATGTAAGGGGACACTCTGATGAGGCATTTGATGTAAGGGGGCACGCTGATGAGGCAATTTATTTAAGGGGGCACGCTGATGTGGACATTTTACATAAAGGGCACTGTGGTGAGGACACTGGATGTAAGGGGGAACTCTGATGAGGCATTTGATGTAAGGGGGCACGCTGATGAGGCAATTTATGTAAGGGAGCACTCTGATGTGGACATTTTACATAAAGGGCACTGTGGTGAGGACACCTGATGTAAGGAGGGACTCTTACAGAAGCCTTGATGTAAGGAGGAACTCTGAGAAGAACTCCTGATATAAAAGAGGGGCTTTGTTAGGGACACCTGTTATAAGGGGGCACAAGTTCTGTTAAATCATCCTAAACTAATGACAGCATTCCTGGTTAACTCCTGCACCACCTCTGCACTACCTGTCAGATGATACTTCCCAACAGGTGTATATATAGAATTAAAAGAGATATTAAAGGCTTAATTAAAAAAAAAAAAGCATGTCATACTTACCTGCTCTGTGAAAGGGTTTTGTGCAGAGTAGCCCCAATCCTCCACTTTTCAGGATCCCTGGCGGCACTCTAGGCTCCCACCGACGAGTGCCTCCGGGACAAGCTGCCTGCTCTGGGGGCACTCGTGCATGCTTGCTCCTGAGCCCTACTCTTTGTGTCCATGAGACACAGAATGGAGTTCGGTCTCACCACCACTCCCTCCTCAGTTGCTGTGATTGACAGCAGTGGAAGCCAATGGCACCCGTTGCTGTCTCTGAACCAATGAGAAGACAGAGAGCCAGGAGAGCAGCCACTCTTGTGCACATCGCTTGGTCAGGATTGGGCTCGGGCAAGTATTAGGGGGAAAGCTACATACTGACAATTTTTTACCTTCATGCATAGAATGCATGTAGGTAAATAAAACATTCAGGCTTTACAAACTCTTTAAAACCTGAGTGAGGTACTAAGCCTTCCCAACTCTATTCAACACCAAAAAAACTTTTTCTATTTTATAATGAAAGATGAGTCTGTATAGTGTATAAAACTGCTGACCTTCATCTCATGACCTTTTCCTCTATCTCTGTCTTGCATTCCTGAAAAAAAAAAAGGATAAATATTACATTAGTTCCAATGAAATTCATAACACATACCCACTCCAAAAGCAGAGATGAGAGCCAGGAGGTCATACTGCGGAATACTCACAACATCGATCAAACGTGCCTTAGTGGCCTTTTGCTCGCTGTTATGTGCATTCTTCTATAAAACCTCTTGGCTTTCATCTCTCATGAATGTGGCTGCAAGGAGATTCTGGTAGCAGTTATATATAATATAAATTGAATTTATATTTAAAAATATGCCCAGCAGGTATTATTCTGAGATACAGTTTGGAATGTTCTTATTACCTTCATGTAGAGTAGAGTTGGTTATTATGATAATGTATCCAATGTCCAAACTTGCATTAGAAACTAAATTTGCAGCTATGATTGTAACCATATAAGTACCTGTAATTACAAACAATACATAAGATAACCATGCACTCATTCTCTAATTAAAGTAGTAAAAATATGGTGGATCCCATATGGAAGAAAAATATATTTGAAATATATTTTAAAAATATTCTTCCCAAATATATTGCCATATATTTGAAATGCTACAATTTTGGCCATATTCAATATATTTCAATATATATATATATATATATATATATATATATATATATATATACTGCATGTTGAAATGCGTTTTTATTACAAAATATATGAAACATATTTTTAAAAATACATTAGATGTCTGGCAGGATCCCATTTTGTTATTGGGAGTGAGGTATCAGACGTATCGCACCACCTCTAATGCAACACATAATAGTCAATGTATGTAGAGCATGGGGCAACATTTTACCAAGAATTCAGCTTCATTCTACATGCAGGGCCAGTGCCTCACTAAGTCTGGAGACTGCCTTAGATGTTGGACTGTGCACCTGACTGCAGTTCCTGCCTTGCTTTGCTGAGCATGCCTCTGGCAAAGGTACCCCTAGAGCACAGGCACAGTAGGCCCTGTCCACAATATGGCATAGACGGTAAAAAGTAACACCCCTAAATGCACAATAGAGTAACTACATAGTCTGAACAAGCATTTATAAAACTTTAAAACAAGCACTGTGTCATCTCTGGTAGCTGTAAACACTGTAAAAATTATTCTGCAAAATTCATAGGAAAAGCAGCGAAATCTCAGCTATATACTGTATATGGCTGCCTGCCAGTCCTCACCTGGTGCAGTACAGGCACATCAACTTACCGTGGTGGGGTGCCAACCAAGTAAGTGCCCCCCCAGTGCACAGAAGTACTTAACAGGCGTGTCAGTAACACAATAACCTGAGTCTACCCTTAAAGCTCTTTTAACACTTGTTGAGAATATGTAAATACTTTAATGTTCATAATCTGGTGAACACAGACTCCCTTTAATGACTAAATCCAGGCTAGCTAACAAGTTAACTTCTCATTGTGTCCTCCATACTGCAAGGGCTCAATGCTTGTTTTGTGTAGGGAATGAGGAATAAGGTGAACAGCTTATTACTTACGTTATACCTTGATCCCCCAGCAGCCTTCGCTGTCCGACACTCATGGGATTTGGGCGGGTCCTCAATGTCCTCAAGTATAATGCAAGACTACTGGTCCTGCATTGTACGTGATAATGTTGGAGAGCTGCATTCAATCCAGAAGCTAAGAGAAGGGGCTTCAGGGGACTGGTCTTACAAAGAAGGGGGGTGCCGGAGGGAGCAAGGAATAAGGTAAGTATTTCACCTTACTCATTATCCTCTAGAACAGCGGTTCTCAACCTGTGGGTCGCGACCCCTTTGGGGGTCGATCGGCCCTTACCCGGGGGTCGCCAGACTCGGGGGTCAGACTCTCATGACAGCAGCCGGCACGGTGCTGCTCTGTCTGTGTGTCGTGTGTGTGCTGTGTGTGTGTAGATCGGACCTTAGAGGACGGGCGGACGCTTATGCTGGTGCACAGGAAGTGATGTCATATCTTCCTGTGTTTGAAGGAGGTGGATGCCCGGGCTGGTAAGTCGGGTCTGATGATTTTGCTGCACTCGGAGGGTAGACACTGTACCAGCACCACCGCTACCCACAGTTAGGTAAAGGGGCGCCCACGGTGCTGCAAAGCCACTGCCACTAATGTTATAAAATGGGTTTTGGAGGGATCCCCTACTGAACCACCACTGATCAATATATTTTTTGTATGGGGAGTGATACACTGAGCCACCAATGATTTATTTATTTTTTTGGGGGGGGACTGAGCCACCAATGATTTTTTTTTGGGGGGGGGATTAGACTGTTGTGATTGACTGCTTTCATTGCTGTTCGTCAGACAGGTGGGTGTGGTGTCAGAAGAAAATCCCCAGCGATTGCAAGCGCTTTTCACAGGTTTGCTAGCAAAATTACAGTTATGACGTAGCAACGAAAATAATTTAATGGTTGGGGGTCACCACAACATGAGGAACTGTATTAAGGGGTCGTGGCATTAGAAAGGTTGAGAACCACTGCTCTAGAATAATTGAGCATTGAACCCTTGAAGTGACTTTAAAGCTTATTATCTACACAATATTGTAGCAGCATTAGAATATTTTTGATAGTTTTAAATTAATTTCCAACACTTTGGTTTCTAGCAGGCAATTTTTAATAGCATTACAAACACATAATGGGCTCATTGTTGAATAAGAACTGTCTTCATTGTCCCTAGAACCCAGTTTCTTCTTTCACTTTCTTCACCTATTCTGGATATGTGAATGAAAAACTGAAAGCTTAGTCAACGCAGATATGGTTATTCAGATGCTTTAATTAGGAGGCCCATTGACCAAAATACATTTCCTGTCCATTGTGGACAGTACAAGATATTCTGAAAAAGAGCATACCTTCCACATTGAGAGAGATATTGGATATCTGTGTCTGTCCTGTTGGGCATTCTTTAGAGTGGCTAAAGGTTCCATTAGATCCTTTGAATTCAATCTTTAGTTCCACTGGTGCTCCATGAGACACAGATACATTTATCTGCAATTCTTTACCTGCTTCCAATCTGGTGGTAGACAATTGACCTTGCAAGCCAGATATTGCCTCCATTAATTGAACAGTGATACTGGTATTGAGTCTGATAGAGGTGTGATCACTGGATGCTACTATTTGCAGATGATGGGATCCTGGACCAATAAGGTGCTGAGATGCTGTGTCCAGGGTCAGATTGTGTGCAGGTTCTCCAGTCTGTACACTGGACTCAGCCAAAGTTCTATTGTCTGCTAGCAGAGAGACATTCATATCGGTGCCTGTAATGGTGGAATAATATGGAAAACAATGTTAGTAAACATTTATATTTGTCTGGTGAAGTCACTGAATCTGAAACCATAGGATTTGGCCAACCAACAATGATACTTCAGGTTTTTGTATGTATGCTTATGAATTATATTACCCACTGTGGAAAAACAAGAAAAGAAGGCACACTAGCCTAGTGAATTATCTCAAGGGAGTTTATTTCAAATGAATAAAACCATAAATATACTCACAAACCAAGGTTTGGAAACAGCTTAAGGAAATAGTGTATCCACAGACACAATGATGATGATTGGGACCTGGAAGGAGGAACACACCAGGTGAACTAAGGGTTTGGCTCTGATGAAGAGGGCTTGCCTCAAAACAAGCAAGCCAGAGCGGATCCTTGGAGGCATTCACCTGGTGTGTTAATCCTTCTGGGTCCTAGTGATTCTGGGTCCTTCAGCTACCAAATGGATAGACATTTGACATTACAGCAGGTTGCAAGAAGTATGAAAATTAGGCTTAAAGCACATCTAAACAGCAATATACAATCACTAACCAGGTAAAGGATCACCAAAGATAAGTCTCCCATAAGAGGCCTGTCTATCACAGCCAGTGAGCCAATGAGGAGAGAGAGGGGGCGAGGCAAGCCATGGCTTTGTGTGTGAATGGACACACAGAGCAGCGGCATTGGGAGTGAGCCTGCTTGGGTGCCCCCATAGCAAGCTGCTTGCTCTGGGGACACTTGGAAGGAGAGAGAGGCCAGGAGCACCACCGGGGGACCCAAGAAGAGGAGGATCGGGTTGCTGTGTGCAAAACCACTACACAGAGCAGGTAAATATAACATGTTTGCTATTTTTTTTTTATTTAACTTGCCTTTAATATCACTTTAACTTTATTTGATACAATTTTTCCTTAAAACCCAAATGAAGTGTCATACCTTCTTATCTCTTTACATTAATGTACCATGACACATTATTATTTGTGACTGTTTTTTGCTTCAAATTGCTTAAAAATACATATTTTTCTGTCAGTAAAATTGTGCTTCCTTCTCTTCTCTCTAATGCTTTGTGCTGTGATAGATGAGTAAAAACCATTCCTCTCACCCCAAATGTTCTCACATAGATTAGTATTGCAGAGAAGAGGAGAAGGTGTGTGTGACGAGGCCTGTTACTGAGTGCTGATTACTGAGAGTGCTAGATCACTTCCACTATTCACACCCTGTCCACACCAATGAAGTCATTGGTTGGCTCTTGCTGATGTCAGTCAAATATAGTGGAGAGAGAGCAGGGGCATGGCCAAGCTATGCAGTGTGTGTCTATGGATGCACAGAGCCTGGCTCAGAAGTACGCCCGCATGTGTGCACCCATAGAACTTGGCTTACTATGGGGGTACACTCAGGAGAGGAGGAGCAGACAATGCTGACAGGGGACCCCAGAACAGGTAAGTGGCATTTTTTTTTATTTCAGTGAAAAAACCCTGCGGTTGAGTCAGGCTTTTACCACCCCCAGTCCCTATCCCCTTTAGCTGCTGAGGCAGCAGCCAAAGGTGTACACATGGCACAGCAGGAATTAGGCTCCCTGTTGCTTTTGGGGGGTACTACCGTCTGCCAATCATAACCCATTCAAGTAAATGAGGTCACTCTGCAAGCATCCCGCAATTGCATGCTTCTGTAGTATCCAAGGGGTTAAAGCAGGTGGTGAGAAAGCAACACAATGCTTCACATTGACCTGAAGATCTCTTCTTTTCTGCAGCTGGCACCACTCTGGAGAACGCTAGCCGGGTTAAGAGGTGGAGTGCAGTTAGTATCACTCCGCATGGGACAGGAGCCAGCACTACAGAGGAGGCATCGGTTTATGTGGCCCTTGCTCCCTACTACAGCTCAAACTTTACAAGCAGTCCCTCAGCATTGCACTCTTTTTATAGCTCTGGGATGGCGGATCAGCAAACCCAGACCGCGATCACTTGCAAGTGTACAATCCAAACGCACACGTTCCTGCGTTAAAAATGGTTGTGTGTATAAGTGAGTGCTGCAGCAACCATCAGCTGGAACTGAACAGAATCAGCAAGGGAGAATGTCACCAGCACACCGAAGATCACCAATATGGGTCACATTCCTGCGAGACTCCGAAATGTTGCCTTGCTGTAACTATGTGATCATTTATTAAAACTTTTGGGTCCATTTTGGTGATCCTCGGTGTGCTGGTGACATTCTCCCTTCCTTAAAAGTCACTTGGCCACGATCTACTGGTTGCTGATTATTGGATATCGATATGGGGATTTGATGAGACACTCCATTATGACTTTTGCTGATAGATAATATTTAAAACCAACATGTCACATACACGGTTTATAAGAACCATTACACATGCAGGGAATTCTGCAATTACCAAGCTTCTGCATATGAATGCAAAGGGTCTGATTTCTCACCTGTATTTAGCTCTATTTGGATCCACATGACCTTCCCATACAAGGCCACACAGGCCCCATCTCGGTACTCATGCTGGCTGAAACAGCCACTGACCCTAAGACTGCCACTGGCCTCTTCCACTATAATGTTTCCTTGAGCTGTCACATGCCATTCACTGGTGGAACACTCCACAAACACAGCAAAGTCTCCAGGGGAAGAGTAACTGTGTGTTATACTGCTGGAGACACTGAAAGACAGAAGCAGGTTAGATTGATTCATATTTATCACAAGAATGTTAAGCAAAAATGAGATTCTGATATGTAGTATAATATATAAATAACTGCATGTTCCATTTTATTAGATGTACAGTAGCTATAGATTTGTCAACTAGATTGAAAGAGATATTAACCACTTGCCGTCCGCCTGCTGTTTATAAACGGCAGGGCGGTGGCAGTCCAGGGGCGGGTTGCCGTTCATAAACGGCACCCACCTTTTCTAGCTGTGCGCGCTCCCTTTTTTACTAAAAAAATAACGGAATAAATTTTGGCCAAGATTTATGAAGAAATATTATTTATTTGCAAAATTTTATAAAAAAAACACTTTTTTTTCAAATTTTTGGGACATTTTCATTTACATAGTAAAAAAAATAAAAATCTCAGCGGTGAATAAATATCACCAAAATAAAGCTTTATCGGTCTCAAAAAAATGGTAAAAAATTCATATGGGTACAGTATTGCATGACCGCGCAATTGTCATTCAAAGTGTGATAGCGCTGAAAGCTGAAAATTGCCCTGGACAGGAAGGGGGTAAAAGTGGCCGGACAGGAAGTGGTTAAGAGTGAAACTGAGATTCAAACTTGATTATATAATTGTAGTTACTCCCTACATGTTTCGCCCTCACGGGCTTCTTCGGGGGAGATTTTTGAAGAGATTTCCTGCAGGGAATCACCAGTCGGGACCCAGTGATTTAGCGCACCCGTGCCGCCCTGTAGCAGTATTTCTGCTATACGGCGGAGCAGAAGCAGTTAAAGGTGTATGTAATCAGTGCACACAGTACCTTGATGAGGAAAGGAACCTGCCATGTGTAGAAAGATCAAACTCTGAGCTTGAGGGGAGCTGTCTTGCTATAGGCGGCACTTGTTACATTCATATATATCGGGGCATTAACGCGCCATTAGGCCAACCTCACCACCAGTCAGACACTCTGCCATCCCTGTGGCTTTACAGGCTTTTTTGCACCTTATTTTGTGAATATGATTTCTGTTTTTTAAAAACTTTAAATAAACCTTGGATAATGCGCTAGGTGTTTGCGCTACCTCCAGATTTAGTCTATGCTTCCCTTCATCATAAATACAAAAACTATCATAGGATTATCCTGAAGAAAAATAAGTTTACTGAACTATCGTGACAATCTCTGCAGTCTTTCCCATAGTCACCTATTGCACTTATGTAGCCCTGAAAATGTGGGCTAGTTCATGATGGGGAAGCACAGTGGCTAAATGGTTAGCACTTCCACCTGGCGGTACTAGGGTCATTGGTCACCACAGCACCACCTGCCTGGAGTTTTCATGTTCTCCCTGTGCCTGCGTGAGTTTCCTCCGGGTACTCCGGTTTCCTCCCACACTCCAAAAGACATGCTGGTAGGTGAATTGGTTCCTCTCTAAATTGGCCTTAGTATGTGTATGTATGAATGTGAGTTCGGGACCTTAGATTGTACGCCCCTTGAGGGTCAGGGACTGATGTGAATGTACAATATATATGTAAAGCGCTGTGTAAAATTGACGGCGCTATATAAGTACCTGAAATAAATAAATGATGGACAGTTGCCCATTACATTCAATGGAATATGTCGGTGTCGTATACATAATTATTTTAATAAATTTAGACTAAGGGCTCGTGTACACTGCAGGTGATAAACTGACGTTCAGGAGCTGTTCAGCGGTTTTTCAGCAGCCCTGAACTCTCCCTAATGTTTTCCTATGTGTCCATGTGTCGTTTACAGGCAGTTGAGTTTACAGTCGTTGTTTTGAACGCACAAAACTTGCGTTCAGGAGTAGATTTTACCGGCGTTTCAAACTCCAAATGCTTGTAAACGCTTGTAAACATGGTTAACCGCATTTATAAGCGTTTGCGTTTAGAAGCGTTTTTTAACTGTTCCATGTCCAGATGCTGTCCAGAGCCTTTTTTTTTTCATCATCAGAAATGCATGCAAAGCATTTTCCATGTATTCAAATGGACCCGGTACACCAGCGCAGTCAGTTCCAGGTTTTGCGTGAAGGAAAAAATGGTAGAATGCGCCGCATTATGCTCATGATGGGATCCATAGTGAATACAACCAGAAAAGACAGGTCATCTCAACACATACTGCTCTCTCTCTGCTTCTGCTCTCTCTATTCTTCTCAAAATGTCATAAATTGTTAATTTTTTACTATTTTTCAGTGCATTCTGGGCATTTGAGAAGGTCTCCTGAGGTTATCTTTTAAAAAAGCTTCTAAACGCTTAACGCACATAAACGCGATATGCAAACGTGGCTAAACTGATGTTTTTTAACCTGCGTTTTCCAGCACTCAGTTTCCATCGTTCAGAAGAGTTTTCCAAATGCCCCGTGTACATGAGCCCTTATGTCTCTTCTGACTTCCCTTAGCCATTGTGTAACATTGACCTCAGTGAAACTGGAACAAAGGTTAAGTGCGTTTGTGGTTACCTGTGTTTTAAAAAGACAATTCCACGTAGTGATAGTAGTCAGAAGTCACATGACAGCATGAACAGGCCAACGTATTGAGTAATAATGCTCTATACATGATAATGAGCACGTAACAGGAACTCAGCTGTGTCATCTAATTCATCTGATGTAAAGATTGCTGTAAACGTCCACTTACTTCTCAGGTTGATAGGGATCAATAGAGTTTCCATCTCCGGTGTTTATAATGCAGGAAAGGTTTCCAGTGAAGGGAGTTAGGAGCCATTTTAAAGTGAGAGTGATATTTTCAGACACCAGGCATCTATTTGGCAAATCAAGCTGCAGACCTGAGAACAAAACAAATTTTATTTAACCACCAACACATCGGGCACTTTTACCCCCTTCCTGCCCAGGCCAATTTTCACCTTTCAGTGCTATTGCATTTTAAATGACAATTGCACGGTCATGCAACACTGTACCCATATGACATTTGTATCATTTTTTCACACAAATAGAATTTTGTTTTGGTGGTATTTAATCACCCCTGTGTTTTGTATTTTTTTGCACTATAAACAAAAAAAAGTGAACATTTTGAAAAAAAAAAAGGTTTTATTCGTTTTCTATTATAAAATTTTGCAAACAGGTAATTTTTCTCCTTCACTGACTCTTAATTTTTTGTGCTTTAAATGAAAAAAGACTGAAAATTAAAAAAAAAACAAAACAATTTTTTCTTTGTTTCTGCTATAAAATTTTGCAAATAGATAATCTTTCTACACAAATTTAAGCCAAAATGTATTCTGCTACATTTCTTTGGTGAAAATAACCCAAATTGGTGTTTGTTATTAGGTTGGTAGGAAAGTTATAGAGTTCACAAACTATTGTATATATCTAAAAATAAAAAAACGATGATGTACTGACGGCCTATCTCATTTCTTAAGTCCCAAAACTGCTAGAACAGTACAAATACCCCCAAAATTACTGCTTTTTGGAAAGTAGACAGTCTGAGGTATTTAGTAAGAGGCATGGCGAGTTTTTTTTAAGTTGTCATTTTTTGTCATAATTTTGTGGAAGATTACGCTGTTGTTTTTTTTTTAACATACTGACACCAATGCAGTACAGCATCATCATACAGCTGGTCATGTGGTTATCAGGGACACCGACTAGCGACAGCATGTAAAAATGTATTTATATATATACTGTATATATTTTATATATTTATTTATTTAAACTTTCTTTACATTTATTTTTTATTTTTTTTTTTTTATTTTTTATGATTTTCTTTCTACTTCTGTGACCAAGTGGTCAGGATTTTTTTTTTTTTTACACATGATTGCTTATACCAACAAGTGTCATTGGTATAAGCAAACATTTTTACTGAATGAAACTGATACATTCAGTAGCTTTTGTTGTGATCAGCTGTGATTGGACACAGTTGATTACATGCTACAGATGGGCTGTGATTGACGAATCACAGCTAGCAGCACAGTGTAAGCAATGAATGGCATGAAAGGAAGCCTTTAATTGTTTACAACTGTCATGTGATCTGCTTTGATTGGTCATATCAATCACATGTCACTGGCAGCTGGCCGATGACACACTGGACACAGCCGGTGACAGATTGCGCCGGAGTATGGCCCGTGGGGCGCACAAGGCATGATCTTGGGAGAACATCATATGAAGTCCTCCCAGGATAATAGGGATCCCTCTCATCTTACAATAGGCCAGGCAGGAGGGAATTAAAAGCCTTTAGCTTAAACCTAAAGTTTAGAAAAAAATATTTTTTTTCTCTACAGCTTAATAAACATACCTGTACTGAAGTATGCCCCAAGTCATGCAGGCTCTAGAAGTCTTCTCTGCAGGGCGCCCAGTCCTCTTCCTGGCACTGAACTTTCAGTGCTGTGTTGGTTTAAAGCTTCAGGTCTTTGGACTGAACTGCATTAGAGACCAATGCGAGGGAGCTGCCCTCTTCTCTCTTCTCCATTGAGAAACATTCTTTCATTGTTTACACTGAATGGAACATGACCCACAACCTCTGAACGGGGGAGAGGATCCTTTCATTCATCCAACTCTCCCCATTCAGAGATCTGTTACATTCAGTGTAAGCAAACAATGGAGAAATATATACTGTAGTGTATCTAAAATTCAATTCTTCTATTGTTTATTTTCAAACTTGGAAAAACATTTTCGAATATCCAAGGGGACCAAGAGCATGGAGCAATAGACAGACAATAATAGATACAGAATACCCAGCTCAATGAGAACAATGGAATGACCATAAATTGGGCTTCAGCCTGGGATGAAGCTGGTGCAGACATAAAATGGGCTTTTACTTCACAATGCAGCCAGAGATCAGAAGAGGACCAATAATACAACCATCAGTCCCTCCTCTCATGCCAGGGTGCTAGGTGTAATCTTAAACTCCCATCTGTCTTTTCAGCCCCAATTTCCAATCGCTGTCCAAATCTTGTAGACTTCACCTCCGCAACGTCTCCAAGATACACCTGTTCCTAACCTCAGAAACTACTAAGCAACTTATTCACTTCCTTGTTATTTGTCGCCTTGACTATTGTAACTCCCTTCTCATTGACCTTCCTAATCACAAGCTATCCCCTCTTCAGTCTATCATGAATGCTGCTGCCAGACTTAGCCAGCTTTCTAACCGTTCCGTATCTGCCACCCCCTCTCTGCCGATCCCTCCACTGGCTTCCCATTGTCCAAAGGATCAAATTCAAAACATTAAGAATAACATATAAAGCCATTTATAACCCTGCCCCAAATTATATCACCAATCTTGTCTCCAAATATCACCCAAACTGTACTCTCCGCTCCTCGCACGACCTCCTGCTCTCTAGCTCCCTTGTCTCCTCCTCCCATGATCATCTCCAGGACTTCACCAGAGCTTCCCCCATCCTCTGCAACTCTCTACCCCAATTTATCAGACTATCGCCTACTCTGCTCACTTTTAGGCGATCTCTGAAAACCTATCTCTTCAGGGAAGCCTATCCTGCCCTCAGCTAATAATGGAATCTTCTACTCCTCCTACCAGTCCATCCCCCACAGTTACTACCTTTTGTACCACTAGCCCCTCCCTCTAAGATTGTAAGCTCCAAAGAGCAGGGCCCTCCTAAAATTTTGTATTGAACTGTATTATTGCTGTATTGTCTCCCGTTAAATTGTAAAGTGCTGAACGAAGTGCTATATAAATCCTGTATAATAATAATAAGTGCTACATACATTTGGTACCCTGGGGCATTCAACAACAATTTTCGAGTTCAGTAAAAAATATATTTTTATAGCCATGTAAATATGAAGAATTTCATAAGAATATTATGCAGTTTTTTATCCAGCCACAAAGTAGAACTCTTCCCTCCTTCGCACTAGGTCTACTCTCTAAACCTTCTTAAAAACTTAAAAAAAAAAAGCATAAACTAAAGTTGACCCCAAGCCAATATAGATTTTAAAAGTTTACTGGCACTCCAGCTAGTACACTCTAATAGGGGTAATTTTTTTCAAGCAACTATAATCAACAATTTCCTTTGTTGCCTGCCCTCTACATATCCTTAAATAGCAGAAAACAACAGCATAAAATATTAACATTTAACATCCCACTCCATTGTACCGTCCTATTCTGGCTAGTCACAACCCAGATCAAACAGAAAGAAAATATTCACCCCCATGATATGCTCAGAAGCATTACAAGCTGGCTGCTTGGAAAGGAAGGTTTTGACAGAGTGCCTTTGCAAATGGCCATAGCCCACCCCAGAGGTATTAAGTCTGGCTGCTTGAGATCCATGGAAATATAAATAATTGACTAGAGTTTCTGATTAACAAGTTACTATTATATATTTGTCAGTTCACTGCAAGAAGGAACTCTAAATACAGCCTGGTGAGGATACGATGTAAGCTGAAATTTGGCACCCACCTTCCATGCAGTTGTATCGGATAGACAGGTAACTTCCTGACAGAGGGCATGGCTCGCCAAAGAGAGACACTTCGATGGCAATCTGACAAGCTTGGAGCCCCTGGCACTGACCTTGGGAAGAAGAATACTTGATATAATTATAATGACCTTCACAGCTATACCGTAGATGTTAAATTTATAGGCAACATCAGTTATCCCTGATAGTATTTAATTTAAAAGAACAATTCTAGTTAGCAAATGAAATCATATCTGCTTCAGATGAACACATTAAAATGATAGATAAAATTTGATTTAACAGAAAAAAAGACTTTTAACAGAGGAAAAAGAGATATAACCAGGGTTGTTGAAGCTGAATTATATGCAGATAGAAAATACACAAATGATTGAAGATCTGTATCATTAATACATCATTAAGCCCTTGTTCACACTGATGCGGTGCGGAATTCCCAGCGTTTTCATTGCGAATTACGCACCGCATCAGAATCACACCGTGTTCATGTGAACCGCTGCGGGTGTGTATGTTAAGTCAATAACACCCCGAAAGTGGTCCGCAAAATGCGGTGCGATGTGCAGAATCGGATCGCATAGGTATGAATACCTATGCGATCCGATTCTAGTGCGGACCCAAAAAAGGGTCCTGCACATTTTTGGTGCGGTGTGATTAGAGTAATACAAAATGTATGAATGTGGTGCGGTTCCTGTGCGAATCACATTGATATACCACACTACACATATGTGAACCCAGGCGTCACAGCCTACAGTACCATACATACTGTACATTTCCCACCACTATAATTATCAGTGTGTATTAATATTTTGTAAAAGATCTAACGCAGTACATAGATTATGTGATCCTCTCCTATTAGAAGGATGTACAGGGTGAAAATGGTACAAATACTAAAGTTTTGAATGCATCAGCTTATGAAATCAGCATTAGTTGATTCACCATTATAAGGAAAGGGGGGAAAATATGATTCCACATTACATTCAGTAGCTCCCAACTGAGAATACCATACTACTTTTGTTAAAATGAGTAGATCCACAAATACGTAAGTCATGCAAGAATGCCATTGATGTACTAAGGCACATCATATCTATATGGTAGCATCACTGTAATATGAAGCATGAATCAGCACTGTACCCAAAACTTGCTCCTTCACATTGTTGAGAAACTAACAGAAAAATAACTAGTTGTGGACTCAACCGGAATAGGGAATTTGTGCATACTCAAGAACAGGGGAGGACTGACCATTTGGAAACTCGGGCACTGCCCGAGGCCCGGGGTCAGTAGTGGGCCCCATGGGATGCCCCTAGTACCTTTTTCATAGGCTTTTTTGAGTTTGGGCAAGGACACAGGGGCCCCACGATCCCCTATTGCCCGGGGGCCCCATGAGTTGTCAGTCCGTCCCTGCTCAAGAATAATAAATCACACAAAGGAGAAGGTAATCAGTGGCACACGAAAACTTCTTTATTACAGACAAAATTAAAAGTATAAAACAAACACAAAAAATCAAACACAAAAAATCGTACCACATTCCACAGGTCCCAAGTAGGTAAATCCCCATCAGGGGAAAACTCAGATAATTGTATGGATGACTCATTTGTAAGACCCATTTGTAAGCTATAACATGTTCCATGCAGGAAAGAGTGCAAAAAAGGCATAATGACGAAAAAAACTCCTATGCTCAGAATTGAATAGCCATAAGCGCCAGGATAAACCAAGCACCAGACCAAGCATACAATGAGACTGGTGTAAATATTAGTGTAATACAGGGAGGGAAGGTAGCAAAACCCCCCTCATATACTAAACACCAAGGCATAAAGATCACAACAGCAACTGACCCTAAACGTATGACCACATGTAGTCCAGAGGAGGATGTAAATAATGGTATATGAAAACCTGCGACCTTCTCAGGTGCCAAGCTGTAGGACACCATCCCGGGGAGATCCTAACAAGCCACTGTAACCTCCCTCATACATGATCAGGTCAAGGACTTAGCTGGTGTATTGATGGATGTTCTTAAGAGTAGATATGCTCTAGAGGTGGTTTTAGATGGGAAGTGTACAAAAGTTTTGAATGTACCAACTTATGAAATCGGCATTAGTTGATTCACCATTATAAGGAAAGGGGGTAAAAAATGATGCCACATTCGGTAGCTCCCTACTGAGAATACCATACTACTTTTTTTTAAAAATGAGTAGATCCAAAAATACAAGTCATGCAAGAAGGCCATTGATGTACTAAGGCACATCATATCTATATGGTAGCATCAATGTAATATGAAGCATGAAATCAGCACTGTACCCAAAACTTGCTCCTTCACATTGTTCCACATGCAGCCAGTGGTTGAGGGGACGGCAGTCTCCTCGGCACAAAGATGGGGGCTCTGACGTCCATAGAAGCTCTCACTAATCTTTACCACTTCTCCTGATCCACACTGTACTGTAGCATTGTGGTTATCACAGGCTATGGTATGGCCAGATTCTATAGGAAGCAAAAATACATTATAGATATTTATTTAAGAAAATATAAGAATGTTTCATACAAAACAATGCAATCTAAAATTATCTGTTAATGAAGACCTGAACTCTTACTCTTAAAAGATGCAACACCCACCATTTTATTCTCTAGGGTCTCTTCTAAAAAAATATATATAATGTTTGGGGGTCCTAAGTAATATTCTCACGAAAAAAAATACAGATTTTTACATGTAAAAGAGAAATGTCAGATTTGGCCTGGTAGAGAAGTAGTTAAAACAAGTATAAGGTTTCATAATAGTCAAAGTTGATTAAAAGAGAGATGTTCCATTTCACGCTGCTTGTGATTTTGTAAAAATACTACTACTACTACTACTACTACTACTAATAATAATAATAATAATAATATTAATGCTTTATTGAGTTAAATAGGTGTACCAACATAATATTTATTTTTTTAAAAATGACTTATCAACGTGTACAGAGTAACTTACCAAATTCACAAATAAAAAAGAATTCCTGGCTGCAGTTGTCAGTTGTTGCCCACTGGTAGCCAGACCTCTTCTTTAAGTAGCCACACTTTCCATCAGTGACAGAGGCTTCCTTACTTCCCCATTTATCATAACTTATATTAGATGTATCCAGCCAGGTCAAAGTTCCTGTTCAAAAGTGGTAAACGGCTATTAATGGACATAAAAGGATGTTCAACTGCATGCACAACATTTTTATGTCATTCTTGTTTAGTACATTTTTAAGGCCTGTTTATAAAAATATTTTTGAATACAGAACAATGGGACATTCTGAACTATTCCACATTTTTGTGCTGTATGTTGCTGTAGATGAATGCTAGTGAATGAAACTGAATACATTAGGGTATGGGTGGTGAATGTGATTGTGCACTCTCAATAGGGAAATATTAAAAATAAATGCCTTCAACTTCAGGGCAATAGCTAAATACACAGATTAAATACATATAAGGGAGATGTTTTATCTGCCAAAGGATTTCTCTCTCTGTCCATCCAGTCTTGAGATGTACACAACTCTGCATCACAGCTTACCCCTGTCTGGCATGGGAGACCATTTTTGTTCTCTGCTGTAGTTAGGTAACATTTACAGGTCTTGCCCCTCCCCTAGCCTGTGACTGGTCAGTAAAAAGAGAAGTAGCAGAATAATGACATCGTCTCTCTGCTCTCTCCTCCCATCAGCATGCTGATTAAACGTCAGCACAATGGATTGGCTCCTTGTGCTGCTTTTCCCTCCCCCAGTTTAAGCATTGCTGTACAGTTGCTGCAAAATCCCGACACCAGCTCAAAGTCATATACGTTCACCTCTTGTATTTAAAATACAATTAAGGATGTAATAATGAATATAAAGTTGTATTGGTTTGTATCATTTCTTTCTTTCTGGAATTTGGCTGTAAAAAGTATTGGTTATGTGCTATGACATTTCTTGCTGTAGTGGTCAATGTTTTGCTTTACAAGACAGTTCTCAATAACAAATGTCAATTAGAGCTTCCTTTTATAGCTACTGCACAGAGATGAGGACAGTCCCTGCCCCCAAGGAGCTTACAATCTATGGCCAAATGCACACACACACTTCTGCTCTTTAGTTCCCATGTCACCTCCTCCCATGCTCTCCTCCAGGACTTCTCCCGAGCTTCTCCCATCCTATGGAACTCTCTACCCCAATCTGTCCGGCTGTCTCCTAATCTATCCACCTTTAGACGATCCCTGAAAACCTTTTTCTTTAAAGAAGTCTATCCTGCTTCTAACTAGTAAACCGCCATTTATTTCCTCCATCAACTCATCCCCCCCACAGCTATTACCTTTTGTATCACCCAACCCTTCCTCCTAGATTGTAAGCTCTAATGAGCAGGGCCCTCTGTTTCCTCTTGTGCCAAATTGTATTGTAACTGTAATGTCTACCTTCATTTTGTAAAGCGCTGAGCAAACTGTTGGCGCTATATAAATCCTGTATAATAATAATAATAATAATAATAATAACATATGACCAGTTTTGACAGGAGCCAATTAACCTCCTAACATGTCTTTGGAGTGTGAATGGAAACCTACACAAGCACAGGTAGAACTTGAAAACTCCATGCAGATAGTGTCCAGAAAATCTGGTGCATCTGTTCATAGTAACCAATCAGCTTCTAAATATGCTTGTTCAGAAAAGCTTTGACAATAAAATCTACAAGCTGGTTGGTTACTATGCACAGCTGTACCAGATTTTCGTTGGTCCAGTTGTAGTAAATCTCCTCCATTGGGCTTCCAGGTAAACAAAAAAATCCATACCATACATATTAGCAGTTTACCTGAATCACTCTTAGGTTGAAGGTTGTACACAATCCCCATCCACCAATCTGCATCTTCGGATAGATTTTGTTCTAGAAAGTCTTGAGTCCCCTGATCACGAATGAAGACCAGATGTCCCCCTCCTCTTTCACACCAAGACTGAGCACTGTGGAAAGTACGTTCAAGGCGGACAAATTCATAGCAGGAGCTATTGTAGGAGATCTGGTACTTCGAGCAAGGAGTAGCATCACCCGAGATAGGAAGGAACAACAAAACCAGAAACGTTAGCCAAATGTTCCTATACAACATGATGCTGCATGGACCATGCCCTCCACTAAACTGATGTCTGCAACAAGTGCTGGTTCATCCCTAACAGGAGGAAGACTGATATCATGGCACCAATGGTCAATTCATTCTTCACTGTTTTGTGCCCAGGCCATAAAGAGATCAATTCATCACATGCAATATAAGTCTTCTATATAGACAATACTGGACATCCATGAAAACAAAGCTCAAATGGTAAATCAGTAGAAATCATCACTCGATAGCGTCCAGCATGGCTTGGAAGAAGGAAGATAAGACCACAATGCTCAGGTGGTGCTTGGAGATAAACCATTCAATGTTCTCACGCTTGTCTCTGCAGTTTTATTACTCCTTTTGTGAATACAAAGAGAGGCAATCACTGCAGCCTGATGCTCATATTTTACAGGAGGCCAAAGGACAACAAACACAAATATATGATTCTCTAGAACATTGGTGTCTAGGATGTTCTCTTCGAGACAAGATGGCAAAAAAAAGCTGACAGATTAGTGACACTGTCAGTACTGAAGCAGGACTCCGGCCTAAAATAGAATAAACATGAACAGCCTATTTAAAATAAAATAATAAAACCAGCTTTTGCAGCAATATTCACCTTCAGTTCAGAAAGCTTCCTGGCAGTAATTTTTTCTGCTACCTCAGTCTGATAACCAGTATCATTCAACCAACTTCTTCTGAGCCATGGTTGTCCCTGAACCACCCCAGCCTGTGACTGGACAGTGAAGCAGAAGCAGCATAGTAATGAGCTCATCTCTCTGGTTCTCTGCTTTCTCCTCCAAACAGTCTAGAACAGGGGTCTCCAAACTTTCTAAACAAAGGGCCAGTTTACTGGCCTTCAGACTTTAGGGGGGCCAGACTGTGGCTATTGGGAGTAGAAAAGGTCCCAATGTCAGTGGGAATAGACAATACCCCATCTTTTGTGTCTGTCAGGAGAAATAGCACCCCATCTTTGATGTCAGCGGGAGGAATTGTGCCCCATCATAGGTGTCTTGGGAAGAATTGTGCCCCATCATTTGTGTCATTGGGACCCATTGTTGGTGTCATTGGGAGGAATTGTGCCACTTAATTGGTGTCATCGGGACCCATTGTTGGTATCAGTGGATGAAATAGTGCCTCAAGGGCAGCAAGCAAAGGGTCACATCCGACTCTTAGGCTGCAGTTTGAAGACCACAGGTCTAGAAAATTAATGCCTGGCTGATCCTATAACCCCAATTCCAAATGAGTTGAGACAGTGTGTAAATTCTACATAAAAACAGAATGCAATGATTTGCAAATCTCATCAAACCATATTTTATTCACAACAGAAAATAGAAAACATATAAATCGTTTAACTGGGAAAAATGTACCATTTAAGAAAAAAAAAAAAAAGGTCATTTTGAAACTGATGGCAGCAACATGTCTCAAAAAAGTTGGAAGTGGCACTAATAATAAGGAAGAGCTGGAAGAACATTTTGCAACTAATTAAGTTATTTGGCAACAGGTTCACCAATCTATGAAAAGTTGCATCTAAAAATTGCCAATTTCAGAATAATGTTCCTCAACCTAAAATTGCAAAGTATACGTATATGTAAAGAAAGTAAGGAGCCCATCCTGACTCTATGCAATCTAAGGCAACGAAAGTGTCCTGATTGCCACACACTGTACACGCTCATCTGCCACACAAGTGATCGCAGCCTCAGCCCAGTTCCATCTAAGCCACACCCGTGATGCATTTCTCCCCGCCTACAGGGATTAGTCATAGAGTCATGACCTCCATGACTAAGCCCCAAGGGTGGGGCAAAATGCATCGAAGGGGCGTGTTTCAGACTGAGTCAGGCTGAGGTTGCTATCAATTGTGTGATGGATAGGCTTGCATGGTGTGTGGCGATCGGGATACTTTCTTTGCCTTTATAGATTGCTTTGAGTCAGGACAGGCTCCTTTCCCAGCCTGCACCCATAGCAGAAACCATTGGACATGGCTATAGAAACCTGAGTCAAGACCCAAAGCTTTATTTAGGTTCACATAAAATTGCAAAAACTTTAAATATATCATCATCTACAGAATATAATCAAAAGATTCTGAGAATCTGGAGAAGGCCTAAGGGACAAGGCCTAAACCAAAGAAGAAGCTACTGTATATCTGAACATGATCCAGAAACACTGCCATCTTCTCTGCGCCAAAGCTACTTGAGCTTCTATTGACAGTCCAATATTTGTGGTGGTAATATGGTTGCCGACTTATATGTACAAACAACAACTTTAATATTGAGATATCTTTTTTTGTCACTCTGGGGTGGATTTACTAAAGCAAATAGACTGTTTACTGTGAAAGTGCTTTTGCACTCATTTTCCCCAGAGCATAGTGAATGTGGTGGAGAGCTGATTTCCATCATCCAATCATATGCAAGTAACAATGCAGTTTTTTACATTTTCCTTGCACTTGATTGGGTGTTCTTTACAAAATCAGGCTTCACCACATTCACTAAGCTGTGGGAAAAATGAGTGCATCTGTACTTGGAAAGTACACAGTCTATTTGCCTTTAGTAAATCTACCCCTATGTTTCTGGTGTGTTTGTACTTACTCAAGCCTTAAATAACTAAATGTATTCTTAAAAAAAAAAAAAACCCTTGGAAAAAAAAAATGTTTTCTGTCCCTGTCCCTGTCCTGTCTCCACTAGGGACAGGAAAACCTGACAGAGGTGATAATCCTTCTTTAATCTATTTAAATGAAAATAAAAGGCTGAGCCTTAAATACTTCCTTCTTTGGTGTTCTGATCCTGGAGCTGTGATTTAAAGGGGTGGATTTACTAAAGGCACTTTGCAACTGATGTTGCCCCAGAGCTTAGTGTGACAGATCCAACCAGGACAGGGGCTTTTGGAGAAGACAGCAGGCTAGCCTCTTCCCTACTGATGGGCCCTGGCATTTGAGGGGACTTTATTCTTTGAGAGGTGTGTGCCTGGGGGGACCTTGTGTAGTAGTCTTACTTTGGATTCAAGTCCATGTCGTCTGAAACACACAGACTCTGAGAACTGGAGGACCCAGAAACAGATTTGGGGCCTCTGCGTTTTTTTGAGGTATAGACAGACCAAACCAGCACTGACTGCTTCAACCCTCTCCTGGACTTAGAGACTAATGCAGGCTATAGACGGGTCGTTTATCGGCCGAATTTTCGTCCGCACGAAAAAATCGGCCAATATTCACGCCGTTAGTGGGGTCAGCCCATCGGCCGTTTTTCGCGGATCTTCACATTTATTTTTGTCGGTCATGCTGGAAAATCCATGAAAAACAGCCATTTTTCGTGGGCTTTGGTGGCAGCATCGGCAAGGGGCCGACGGATTTTTGTTTATCAGCCGAAAATTCGGCCGATAAACGGCCCGTCTATGGCCTGCATAAGAGCAGATGTTAATATAATCAGTTCAAAAGAACCTGATGCTGAGGTCTCCTGCTGTAATCTGTTTAAAGTGTTATGTGTTTACTGTTGTGTCTTCCTTTCATAGTTAATTGAGTCACCTATTGTTTCTGTCTGTTGGCTAATCTTCCTGGAGGTTCCTATATGATGGGATTGGTCTTGTGTCAACTTTACCTCATTACCTAACCATTGTGGGATGTTTATCCCAATGTGTAATATTTATTTTCATTGGTTATGTGAGGACTGCCTCTATTTCTGAAGGATATAGAAACCTGTATTTCTGTTCAATAAAGTCATTTCTTTGTTTTTTACCTCAACATCTTGCATGTGTACGATGCTTGGGGTAAAGGGCTGGTATTAGCTCTCGGTCTGCTGGAAGGGTTTGGAGGGCAGGGTGCACTGTTTGGCGGAGGCACCCAGGTAGGGTACCTGGCAGTCTGTCACACTCAGTGAATGGGAGGAAGATTCACTTCGCAAAGAATACCCAATTACATGCAAGGAAAATGAAAAAAAAAAACATTATTTTTGCTTGCACATCATTGGACAATAGAAGTCAGCAGAGCTTCACCACATATACTATGTTTGGGAGAAACTGTACAAGCAAAGTGCACGGTGTGTTTGATTTTAGTAAATCCACCCCACGGAGTCTATAAGGTCAGCCACTTGAAATCAAATGAGGAAAGAACAGAGAGCACACAGGCCTAGTGCATTACCATAAAAAAATGTTTAATAAGAAATAAAGTAGGTGTTGTACTCACAAAAGACAATAAAGTCAAGGCACGTCATAAAGATCAGCTGGGTCAACACCGCGCTGAGTAACAGTCCACAATAGGGAGTGTAGACATCCAATAGGCTGACGCATTTTGAGGACTTGCCTCTTCCTCAGAGCCTCAGGTGGCTCTGCTTGTTCTTTCCTCATTCAGTATATTTGGATTTCCCTGGTCTATCGAGTGCAGCAAGGTGTGCATGTTCCAGGACATTCTTAATGTGGTTGTAGCCTGCATCAAGTCCATCCCCAAGCGCAGGAGCATTTGTGTTTGCTGGTTACTTGAAATCAAATAACGTAGGGAAAGAGAAGAGTTTTTCTAGTGGGGTACACCAGAGTGATGAAGAATATTAAAGCTGAACTCCGGAAAATAAAAATTACCCTTGCACTTAAGCTGGCTGAGATCTGAAGATCTATGGGCAGGCTGATTGTACCTAATTCGATTTTTTTGTACATTTGGGTGCAACCAGCCTGTTGGACCTTTCATGTGATTATTGCCAGTGGCTACAGCTGCCAGCAATACTCATTCTGTCCTCCCGGTAGGGACGGCTCCCAACTCCCCTGACGTGGTTGCAGAAAAGAAAATCACGTCGTCTATGGCTTTAGGTTTAGTGAAATATCCTGTCATAACCCCCCTC